AATAATGTACTGCTCTTAAAAGGAATTTTTCCAAAGATTCTCCATAAGAGAGCATTTTCGGAATGGCTATGACAAACAGGCTGACATGTTCACATTGTATCTATTAAAGATAATAGAATTTAACACTAACTCCAAAGAAGACAAATTATGTTCCGCTGCCAGGGTATCAAGCATACTTTCTACTGTATTAAACCAAAATTAGAGCAAACTCATTTCCAAGAACCAACTTCTTCTTTTGCCCTATTACCCAAGATGGAATATGTTCCTACACTGTTTTAACGCTTGTTATGTCAACCACACAACTACCATGTCACTGGCATCTGGGAACGAAGAACGATGACTTTCTATACAGATGCCTACCCAGGCCCTTCAGCTATCTAGTTTGAGCAGACGCTAACAACGATTTGATTGCCCGGCAGGAATACTGCTACACAAAGTAGTTTGCTCCTATTAGGCCTGTTAACTCCTTTCACCCCTCTTCTTCCCATAGAATGAGTTTGCATTAAGTAGAGACCTAGGTTATCCGTGCTCCACTTAGAGCACCCTTCATGTCTTGAAAAGTTTAGGGCAACTATTTACTACTTCATGGTTCTCTCATGCTTCTGTATTTGCCACTTCCAGGGGTGGGGGGCACCTCCAGGAAGACCACCTCTAGCTCCACACTTGATCACCTCTGGAAAAACAGTCCAAGTTGGTTTGGGTGGGGTTTTTTTGGTCCTTTCTGGCTAAACTGAGTCTCACGGTTTATTCTCCTGCCACATCTGCTCTGGTCTTACTCAGATTCCTTCAGTCTCCTCTTCATAAATATATTAATCTACTACTGTACATTTGAGTCAAAGAAGGGCACTGTGTCATGAACTAAAGCCAGACCAAACATCTGATATTATGCCAAGACCATGTGTGTCAAGATGATGCGCTCAGAAAACCAACAGGTAACTCAGCTAAATAGGTAAATACTGGATCTTTGGTGACCCGCATCAAACATTATTTGAATAAGCTGATGTCTAGGAAGATGTGTGGTGGTTCTTTATACATGGGAAGCTAGACAATGACAGACCACAGAGAAGGTCCAAGGTAGAGAGGCACAAGTGATAAAAAGATTTCTTTTTAAAGGGTGTGTGGGTGTGTGTAGAGGTGGAGGGGGAAGAGGCAGCTTCATTAATATTAGGCCACAGAAAAATTAAATTCCATGTGTTGTGAGGAGAAGCCACCCTGCCATTTCCCCTCCTTTCTCTCTGCATGTTTCCTCCATAGGTATAGCTGAGAAAGGCATGTCAAAAACAAAACAAAAAGATGAAACTGCCTTGGCAGGGTGTTGGACTAGATGATCTCCAGAGGTCCCTTCCAACCCTGACCATTCTGCGATACCAGAAGCATTTAGAACAGCTCTTCTTCCTATATGGCACTATTTATAGGCTTGTCTACAACCTGTACGTGCCTTATGTTTGTTCATATAATGATTTTTTATCAATAGGAGAGGACTGTCAGGACCTATCTGGTTGGAGGTAGGTTCCTCTCCATACCCACCTACCTATCCATAGTACCTCCATATGGCAGCCGGCAGACTCGCTTGTTAAGCCAACCCACAGCTCTGCTGTCCTGGCCAGGGCGCGGTGGCTCCACTCCTGTAACTGCCATTATACAATCAATTTCACTGCTTTTTGTATTCCAAGTGCTGCTTTTCTTTCCTTCTGTACAGGGTAAGATGGGCTCTTACACAACAGGGAACCCAACTGCTGCTACTAATCCAGTTTCAAATTACCTAATATTCATTGCCCTAAATACCTCCCATCAACCTAAGACCCATTCTCCAGTCCCAATGCACAGAACCACTGAGGATCCCTATTTTCTTTTTAATTTTTAAAGGAACTATGTAATCTTTTTAAAACAAAAACCCAAGGTTTGTGTACGGCTACATGTTTAATGGAGTCCTACGATACATTATTTACTTGGCCTACTCTTGTGATCTATTTAATCAGAGTTCTGCTTGATAACACAAAGGATCTGTGATTTGGGGTGCTGCTGTCTACGCAAACATCGGGACAAACACACAGCTGATCGGTGTTTTTACAAGTGCCCACACACTCAATAATTTGGTTGAAGTATACCATGTCTACTTAACACAGCACAAGTTAGCTAAAAGGAAACTTTCACCCCACACACACATAACAAAGAGCCGTGATTTCTATTAGTGCATTTCATACCATACATGCTGATTACCAGGCTGTGCTTCATTGTTAGCAGAGATTACAGCTGGGATAAGCTGCAGCTTTTTCCTAATTGCTATTATGATGACTGAATTTTTGTTTTGTGTCAAGCATTATTCACACATTATACTCCAAAATTTGATCCCTCCATGATGCATTATTGATTCCATGCAGGCAATCATACTGCTGCCAATGTGAAGAATTAATTTGGGCTATTCTACTCGATTTGCATTGCTCCATCATAGCAGAACATAGTTCTATAGGGAAACACAAATTGAAAAGGAAGATTTAACAAAATATGGAAAATGCTGCTGTCCTTTAAGAGAGATGAGTCCTAAAGAGGGAACAAAAAAAACCCCAAAAAAACCTCCAACCCAGCACAACACGTGTGGTCCAGAAAGAATTAAGGTCAGTCAGCCAAATTCATCTTAGTCAGAGGAAGGTTACAAGAGTAGCCTTATGCCTCTAATAAAGTAAACTAGCTTGCTTCAACTTATATTGCCAAAGAAAACAACTGAACACCTCTGAGAGCGACACTGCTTCAAAGCCTTTGAAACCCTGTTAGCTTCATTTGTTTTCCCAGCATAAGCAATACTCAACCACTTAGTGTGTCTTTTATCCACAGTCCAGTCAACCGCAAAGCTGATCTAGAAGATGCATAACAGATGCTTCACATCTACTTCTCTTTTTTTAAAGTTCTACTGTGTTAACAAAGAAACTTAAGAGATCTCGACAGAAACGAAGTCCCAGATTTATTTTATTTCCCTGAATAGGATTATTTCGGAATTTGAAGATGCCAACTTAATTAGCACAGAATAAATTCAGAAGGACAAGAGATCTTATACAGGGGCATTGACCCCACACTGGTCAACTCCTAGTCAAAAACTGATCACTTCTGTATAAAAGAGCGCAGTGGTAATGACATATTTCGGCTTGGTCTCATATCTTAAAAAGGTGTAAAATCTTTGTGAAAAGTCCATTCACATTTTTTCATTGTCCCAAATGTTTCACATCAGAATGAAATAAAACCTCACATCCCATCCCAGGAACTAGAATTCGAATTCTATGCACATGAATACACCAGATTGATAATTTTCGAAATCAAACTTATAATGAGACACAGACCTCAGAATGCTAGATGTAAAACAGAGGGCACTATTCCTCCCTTACCCTTTTTTTGGGAGGCAAGGAGGAGAGAGATGGAGAAAAGAAATTCAGTAGAAGAGCTTTGGTTAAATGTGGGCATCCATCCATTATTTTCAGTAGTCGAGCCTTCTTTCCTAATTATTCTCCAGTACAGTATTAATTCAGTTTTAAAATACCAGAAGACAGATATGGGTCGAGGAACAAAAATCATATCGCTCCAACTTATTAGCATTGGGCAGCTTTCAGCACGATTCACAATACGTGATTAGCACCAATCTGACACAGGAAAACAAGTGACTTTGAATTACAAGTTATTTTTCTCATAAATATTTTAAAAAACAATACATATATTCAAGTAAAATCAATGCTACTGCCAAAATGCTCAACTTCCAATTTCTCCAAGCTCTTTGGCTCCCTGTAAAAAGCTATTTCCTGTCTACAGTCTTGCAAATATTCAGTGATTTCTTCTACTTCCCAATGAGAACGGCCTATGACTCTTTTTAACACTTAGAAAGATTTCTGAAAAAGAATTGAAAAGATCAGGGAATCCAGAACACACGCATTACACGGCACACTTCATCCACTTATGAAGGTGAAATGAAACAATAATAGCTACCAACGTGTGCTAAAAGTTAAGATGTAGTTCTCGCTTTCAGTACACAATGTGCCGCCAAGGTGGAGGTCTTTGGCAAGAGGCAGCGCCATCGATGGAAGTCCATCTGGACAGCTACAGAAGTGTTCTGCTCTGCCTTCGTTTTAATCTTTGCTTTCAGTCTACGAGGGAGGACCTAAGCCACAAAGCAGCCTTAGAAAAAGACTCATTAAGAAGTTGTGATTAGACTTACCACATTCGTCCTAGAAACTATTGGTGACCAAGCAGCTAAGCTGCACGCCCTGGTAGGCAACGTGCGAAAGGAAGCTTCAGGTCATTCAAACTACTAGTTAACACTGCCTGTTATTCTTCACATCAATTACGACCCCTTAGTCATCCTTGATAAGGACTAGCCAGCTTTAAAACCTAAGTATGCAAAGTCCTAAAATAATTCAAGCTCTCCTTCAGTTTCATTCATTAAATTACCTCCCAAATGAACCTCCACTTCTGCCATTTAGAGAAGGGAGTAAATTCGTAGAATAAGTCAAAGCTTTTTTTTTTTTTCCAGAACGGCTTATTAGCTTATTGTCATTATGTTTATGACTATGAAGAAAAGCTGTGAGAAATAGATATTAAAGGCTCACATTAAAGAGACCCAAATGACATGCGGTGGAAAAGAGTGAAAATCTCAGAATTAGATTTACAGTAAAAGCTGTTAAAATAAACAGGATAAAATGGATATATTATAGTAACTTGTAGAAAGAAAATTCTAAATAGATATTAGAAAAACAAAATCAAGCTGTTTCTGCTGTGTCCTTCAGCAAACAGAGCCTGGGGTAAACCCTTCTTGACTGGTTCGATCATGCCACAGAGGAGATAAAAAGCATAAAATAAAGAGCAAGCATGCTTTTACCAACACAAGGGAAAAATATCAGGAGCTGAAAGCAGAGCACTCTGATACACACAGCGCGCATCTGTTTCAAAACTATTTATGTCTACGTTAGCAGCACACAGAAGACACCAAGCACAGGCTCACACGATCTCAGCCCACCTACCGTCCTCCTTGTCCAGCACCATCATCTCCGCAATCAAGAAAAGTCCGGGGACAGATGCTTCTTCTCCAGCAGCCTCCGCTCAGGGGAGAAGAGAACAAGTCTCTGGGAACACAAATGAGCTACGGTACAGCTGATCGTCCTTTAGCAGCAAGTGAGCTCTAATTACCCAGTTGTCCAGCTTTTAACCTAGATTGCACTCAGTTAGAATTACACTCAGAAATAAAGCACTTTGCAGATACAAAAGCTGTCTCACCTACTTTTGTGCCTCAGAATTGCAAGGAACTAAAACTGCAATTTAGAAAGAAGGGGGATCAGAGCTGTTTCTTTGGTTCTCACCTTCTAAATGGCTCAATTTACACAGTATAATCTATTTTAATGTAATTGCATTTGATAGCTCATAACCCCGGCTGTTGCAACTACACAGCTTTCAACCTTGTAAAGTGTTTTCCCTTTGGATTTAAGCTGAATCTAAATCTCAAATTATATTCGGCGAGGCCAGAATCCCTCCGCCTGCCTACCGCTGGCTCCCTCTCTCCATTTGCCAGCCTTGCACACTTGCTGCGGAGCAG